GAGATATCTGCATTGTGTTGGGTGAAGAAATCTGCAGTGTGTTGGGTGAAATATCCACATTGTTGGGTGAGATATCTGCATTGTGTTGGGTGAAGAAATCTGCAGTGTGTTGGGTGAAATATCCACATTGTTGGGTAAGATATCTGCATTGTGTTGGGTAAGATATCTGCATTGTGTTGGGTGAGATATCTGCATTGTGTCAGACTTGACAGTGTAATTGTGCTGGGTGTGACACAGTAATTGTGTAGGGTACGACACAAATTTTGTTGTGTGTGATGCAACATTCCCCATGCTGTGTGTTAAATACAACTTTCATTGTCATGTTGTGTGTGTATAGAGAGACACTGTTACAAGTACGAGAGGAAAGGGTATTCTTGTATGAAGCCATGCACATCAAGTATCACCTAATCTACACTATAAAAGCACTGGTACCCTTGTTCTATATAATACTGCTCAGGTATTGCTGTGGGGACACTAGTTAACTTCAATTCAAATACTGCTCTGGGAAGTTTTTATCAATACATAGCACTTCATAAATAGCCAGAGAGAATAGTTTTCATTGAACACAACCAATCTAAAAATTGTAACTGAAAATGCACTTGGTAGAAAGAAAACTTCACATTTTTTGTCAAAACACTACAAACCAAGATGTGTCAACAGCAAAAACTACCAAATAACTAAAATATAATGCATCAAAACAAAATGTGTAAACTTAAACAAAATGCAAACTTCTTTGTCAAACCAACTTCTACTGTGAAACTACTGGCCTCTGTACATACCAATCACTATACTGCTCATATCTCTGTATATACCAATCACTATACTGCCCATATCTCTGTATATACCAATCACTATACTGCCTATATCTCTGTATATACCAATCACTATACTGCCCATATCTCTGTATATACCAATCACTATACTGCCCATATCTCTGTATTTACCAATCACTATACTGTCCATATCTCTGCATATACCAGTCACTATACTGCTCATATCTCAGTATATACCAAATACTGTACTGTCCATATCTCTGCATATACCAGTCACTATACTACCTAGACACTATATACCAGGAGTTCCCCTCAAGTTCTTTTCCTAGACCTCATTCCTCATATCTCTGTGTATCACCCAAACTCGGTATGGGACCAATCCTAAATCTCCACCCAAAAGACAGTCCACTTGACGTACACACAACATGGCTTATCTCAAAAAGTAGAGAGTTAGCTGAATTTTTAAACTTTAGCATAACTGCACAACATGCAGTGAAAAATTGTGTGAAACAAATACGAATGTAAATTTAAAAAATGTAACTTAAATTTGTACAAAATGTTGCAAATAAGTTGAGTCATGGAGAAATTATTGCCACTGTAGCCAATTACTTGCATAAAACATATGTAGATTTTCTTTAACCAGTGTTTTCTACTAGCACCTCTACTACACTACAGCAGTAAGTCGTTCAAAATGTCTGAGAATACATCTGGGAAACAAGTAAAAATAAAAAAAAGACCCCAAGTAAAAGAGGTTCACGTTTTCATAACATTGGAGGGCTAAGAGAAGACAGCTAACATCCCTTAACTAAACACAACGCTCTCTTCAAAGAAAGTTTATCTCCTGCCTCTTAATTCTAACACAAATTAGTTTATATAGCTGGTCTGTTTTGGTTGATATCAATTGTAAATTCTGAAAATTATCAATCTATAGCAGGTCTGTTTTGACTGATGTTCATCTTTAATTCTTCAAAAATGGAATGTAACAAGACGCCAAGAAAGCAGTCCAAATTCTGTTCCCTAAACCTACTTCTCCCCCTATATGTGCAGGTATGTATACACCCTTGCTATTCCTACTTCTATACCTACCTCTATATATGCCTGTATATACCACACACACACTCTATACCTAGCTAGCACCTAGTCATATTTGATTAATTGAAAAAAACAAAAAAAAAAAAAAAAAAAATTATATGATAAAATAGTTCAATATTAACCCAACCCCTTAACTGGGAGCAATAAGCTTCTAAAATTTTGCTACAATGCAAAAAATGCAGTGCCATTATTTCTACAATCTCAGTTTCAGAATTATGCAAGTCATCATTGCCTCGGCCTCAGCAGCTGACTGAGTCATTGTAACATTAAATACCAACTTATACAAGTCTAATCTCTTTCTTAGCATAGCCTCTAAGTTAATTAGCCAATAGCATGCCCTTAACTATCACTTCCTCTGCTTCCACCATGGCCCAACTTAATATAGGCAATATGAAACCCAGTGAAGCTCTGTCCCTGTTGCATATATTATTCTTTCTATCGTGTCTGCATAAAAATCCATCTGAGTTGAGTGGTGCTAGTGAGCAGGTGAATGAAGTGGTCGAGTTGCTCAACTACATACTTATTGTGGTATATTCAAGTAATCTGACAGCATACTCTGTTCATATATATGTCTATATTCATACTACATCATATCATAGTAGGTAAGCTTAACAATTTCAATATGAGCGTAAAAACTCTATCAAAATCCAGAAACCTCCTGAAGATAGTCTCCACTGTGTGTATTGTCATGTCACTGTGTAGTTTTGCTCTTACTGCCACTGCCACCAGTGTAGAATGTGGTGAAAGACTCAGCATAGGGATTACTGAATACTTGGGCCTGTGTTGAATGATACTGATCATCAGCGCCATCTTCAGGCAAGAACATGTCTGGGTCGTGCATTTCGACATGCGTGCGTGCCACCACCTTGTGTTCCGGTGACAGCTGTATACCTACGATGTGGCGTGCAGTGCCAGGACTTCGTGGTTCAGTCGACACCATCTTCTCCTCACTGCCTTCATTCCTCGACCTCTGATCAGCCTTGGTGACCCTCGTTTCTATGGCGTCAAGCTCCACACTGCTGGTCATAGGGTCAGTGGGACTGAGGCCCTCTAGGATGTCAAGATGGTCATGTTCTGGACTCTCCTCATGGGCAGCATCGCTGTCACTGGAGTGATCATAGAACACCTCGCCCTCTATATTCTCATACTGGTCCTTTGTTCCGTCACACTGGTCCTCCAAGTCTGGCTGAGGTGGCATCACCAATTGCTGTTGTTGACCTAGCTGCATGTAGTAATCCCTCAGTTGACCTTGGCCCTCCTCCTCCTCATCTTCCTCCTCCCTCTCTAGTAAATACTGGTTCTCTATAATCTCCACCTTCTCCATAAACCTCAACTCCTTCTCTTCCACCTTTTCTCCTTCCTCCTCGCTATCACTATCTGAGCTAGAGGAGGTCTCCGTGGTGACACTGCTGTGTTTCTCTGCACTGCTTTCACGTATGAACAGCGGTTCTGGAGACGCCTCGTGAGGAGACTGGTCTGAGCTATCACTGGAAGAGGAGGAAGAGAAGGAGTCTTTCCTCCCTGGAGCTGCCTCCATCTTTGTGTCCGTGGTGACATCCTCTCTGCTGTCTACAAAGGAAGCTTGTGGACTGGGCTGTGTCACATACAGCTCAGGGGGTGGTGGTGGGGGTTCAGTGCTGCCCTCTACAGCTGGTTCAGACACTAACATCTCTGGCGGAGGCGGGGGCAATTCTGAGTGTTTAGACTGTGTAGACAGCTCCTGCTCCTCCTGCTTCATGACCTCCGAGATGATTGTCATCAAGTCACTGCCTTCAGGGGGCACTGAGCCTGTCTCCATGGTAACTGTCTTAGTAACCGTGGTGACAGAGCTCTGTCCTATTTCTTTAGTTACTGTGGTCTCCCTGGAAACCACAATCTCCAAGTCTTCATCAGAGCGGTCACTGTCTATAAGTGGCCGCTCCTCCTCTAGAGGTGGCATGTCCTCTCTAGTCGGCGTGGGCTGTGGGGTGGCCGCAATGATCTCTATGCTGGGCGGTTTGAATGTACTGAATGATGTGCTAGGCTGATGAGATGTCTCGTCTGATGATGAGGAGGAGGAAGAGGAGGTTCTGGAGCGTTGGTCCCCTGCCTCAGCTTCTCCTGCTGTGTCACTTGTCTCCACTGTCTTTGTGACTAGGTCTGCCTCCTCCAGGTCAGGGCTGGGCTGAACCAGCACAATATCTGGAGCCCTGAAGGAGGAGAACGTGACTGGTTTACGCTCATGCTCTGCTGGGTCAAACACATCTGAGGATTCGGACTCTTTCCTGACCTTGTCCTCTTCTTCTCCTTTGTGCTTCAGGTGCTCCAAGATATCTTTTTCTAGGGAAGGACTGAGAGAGTCATCAGCGCTTGAGTAGCTGTTTTTAGGTGGCAGTTTGCTGATATGGACCACCTCTATTGGGGACCTGCGTGGTGACTTATCTACGGGGGACTTATCTGGGGAAGCATCCTGGCGCAGGATAGCAATGGTCTGCTCAAAGTGGGAAGGAGAGTCTGTCTGGATTGGAATGTGTAGAGGTGTGGGCTTTCCCTTCGACTGGGACTCTTTCTCGCCTGGATTGAATGTCGACTTAGAGGAGTGGTTCTCCTTGTGTGCAGTCCCCCCTGGGGTGTGGTTTCCCTGGGTATTAGACCCTGGGGATGCCACCAGGACCTCATCATACCCCTCTCCCCCCTCTTCACTGACATGTCTGCGGTGTAACACATACTCTATCTCAGAGTTAATCTCCTCCTCACCCTCATCCTCACTCTCACTAGAGGAGGTGGACACTGACCGACTTCTAACCCCCCCTCCCAGCACAGCCCTGCCCCCCTCCCCACTCTCTACCTGTGTGTTTAGTTCACTCTCATCAATGTGTAATTCTATTTCAGTTTGAGGCTGTTTTATTACAGAGGGTTCTGTATTAGCAGGGGGCGAACCAGGAATTATGACATCATTGTCATTTGCATTTTGATCGGCTGCTAAGCCATTTGTTTGCTCTGTCTGTCTAAACTGATCTGTTCTACTAGTTTCTACCGTGTGTTCTACCGTTCCATTGCACTCGGTTCTGTCTGGGTGCGGCGCCGAGCCAGGGGGCACCGCGCCCTCAGAGGCGGGACTTAACTCGTTACTTGGGGAACGTAAAGAATGGCTACCTGATTGTGAGCTGTCATCGTGCACTTCTGCCGTCTCCACTCGTGTGGACGCGTTCAGGTTGTGGTTTGATATGTCTAGGACGTGCGAACCGCTGGAAGCTGACGCGGCAGAGCTCATACCGCCACGGCTGTAGTTCAGGTCACGGGAGTTCATGGTACTGGTGGTGGGCGTGGCACCAACACTGCGAGTACTCCGCACACTGACTGTTCTATAAGACAGAAAGAGGGGATATATTACACCACCTAATAACATACATTATGCCATGCTGAAGTTTTGTTATAGACTAAGCAGAAATATTTACTAAGGATTTAGTGATAGAAGTGACTATTTTTGGATCACAAATAGTAGTAAACAGCTACATCTCACTACTGTCACAATAGCATCATCAGGCTGAATGCCAACAGGCTGTTGGGTGTTGGTAGTCCTGTGAAAGATTCATTACTTATATTCTTCCAAAGTCAGTGAGTCTAAATCACTAAACCCTCAGTAAATAACTATTTTTGAAACCATGAACACTCTTATTGATAAGCACAAATAGTGTTGAATCAGAAGAAAAAAATTGTTAACAAAGAAAGCACAGTTGACCACAGCTGTGGGTAAGAAGGGGTAAGCTACACAACTATTGATATCCACAGACAAAACCTTTTTGACAAAACTTCTGAGGGATTATATGGAATTTACTATGTCTTGACTATGTCTTGACTGACTAAGCTGAGCAGAAATTAACAGTGGCTAAATGGGGATGTTATTCTATCCAAATAGGGAAGTAATTCTAGTCAAATAGGGATTATTATTCTGGCGAAATAGGGAGGTTATTTTATCCAAAAAGGGAAGTTATTCTAGCCAAATTGGGGAGTAACACTACAATAATAGGGAAGTTATTCCAGCCAAATAATAACATATTTTAGTCAAAAAGCCAAACAGGGGACTTTCTCTATCCAAAAAGGGAACTTCTTCCTGCCAAAAAATTTTCTTTAGCAAAAATAACAAAAGAAGAATATTACAATTTTTGGGATTTAATTAGAAAATGTTCATTTAAAATCTACCACAATAGGTAAAGCCAGAAATCATGCTCAAATATATGGCCACTTTGTGATAACAATATTTATAAAAGACTCTTCTAAATGCTACAGGGATTCTTTCATGGTTTTTTTCTTTGTGCAAACATATGGCAAGTGGCAGAGAAAAAGTTGAAAATGTGTTCAGAAAAAAAAATGGCCACTAAAACAGCCCAAAGCTACACACAAACCCACAATTCTATGATATCACATATAAACACAAACTATCCACAGGGCTGCCAAGTCCATTTCTTTCATTTTCAGGACAACCTCACTACATTAATTGAATACTTATATATATATGGTACACAACAGATGAACAAACTTCTGTTTTGGCAACTCTGCATATTATACACATCATATTAAGATAAAAGTTTCAATTTCCATGAAGCAATTGAGAAAGAAATACTTGTACGTGTCACAGAGATATATAATTAATAAAGAGATATTAAAGCTAAGATGAAGGCCATTAATTTCCCAACATCAAGTGAAACTGCACATCAAATCCTCCTCAAAACAAATCAAAGTAGAAACTCCATCAAGTATACTTACTTTCTGCACAACAATTAGCGGCAGAAAAATAATTAATACACCAATAAGATGCCGACAGAAGCCACAACATAAACTTAATGCATGGTTAATGTTAGTGTGAATGTACTACTGTATGTATGTATTATTATTATGGTGGTTTTAAAGCAAACAGTTTGTTGAAATCACATTAGGAGTTATTGTCACTCCTGTACTATTACAATGGCAACATGCTGGGGTAGCACAAAAAACTTGCCAATTTAGCCAAGTGCTAAAACTGACTTAAACTGGCAAAACAAAGTAGGGTTCATTGGACTTGTTTTAGTCAAATATACACTATTTTGCAGAAGAAAAGTAAAGAAAAAGTAATGATTTGGCTCAGTAAAAAAAAAAACTGCCAGCGCTACCCCAGAGTTGATCATTCCAGGCGTGTGCTGTATATAGCGATAAGCAACCACAGGCAGTGATGTTATTTACCTCTCAAATGGCTCTCGTTTGATGTAGTTCTCGCGGACATAGTCCAGAAGCTGTTTCTGGGTTTTACCACTGTACCTGTGGATTGAATAAAATATATTCCTTAAGAATAAACATGTGTCCCTTAAAATAAACATATATCCATTAAAAATAAGTCATTTCATATGCAGGGCTTTTGGGACATTCTAGTATTGTTCTCTTGGTTTACTATCAACCACCTTGATTTTTTCAATTATGGGCCCCGTGTGATATTTTGTTCAGTATGTTCCCAATTTTGGCTTTATCATCACTTGCTGTATCTAATGTTCACTGATATAAATCCCCATTTATACATGTGACTATGAGCATTTTGCAAGAAAACATTTTCCATCTTTTAGGTATGATACAAAACACAAGACCCCTTAAAGTCAACCTCGAGCAAATAGTTCACAAATTCTAAGCTTTCAAACAAGGACCTTTTAAGTGTTAACTGAGGACCACAGCGGTTATCTTATTACAAAGCAATTCCTAATACTTTTATTCAAATTGAAGCTTGCAGCTTGATCAATGAAATGCTGTATACCATACCTAAATGAAGAACCTCTACTAATGACCCGTGTCTTATGTCTCGGGATGGTCCTCACTGACTGGCAGCGGAAGAAAGCATGGTGCTCGATACTCTTTTTCCAGAAATTCTTACATTCATCTCTAGAGTCAAAACAGAACTCTACTGTGTCCTTGTGATAGCCCTGGAGAGACAGGAAATATGGCAATATATTTATTAGACATCCGGGTGTTCCTGTACTATGACAATTTCAATGTTGCATGTGAAAGGTGTGACGGTGGTGAGTGTGTTAGTTATAACAGTGGTGTGTGTGTCAGATGTTAGTGTAATTATGTTCAGTATTCCAAACAATCAGAGAAGAATTTCATCAGCTGTGTTATGTTATAAGAATGATGTAATTTTTCTTCAATCAACAACTAGGGGGTAAAAAATCTCAATATTAGCTGTTGACTGAAGAAAAATTACATCATTCTTCCGAACAATGACTACTCACATATCCCTCAGGATGGAGTTTGATCAGAAACTTCCGTCTCTTAAAGCTTAGTTTGCGTATCTTGGCCCAGGAGAAGGTATTAATCTTGGTGGAGTTCTGGAACACCATGATGCCCAGGTGGGCCACTGCCAAGTTCAGGGGAACACCTTCGTTGTCCTGGAAACAGCAAACACTGTCATTAGTCTTGGGGGATTGGAGGGGGGTGGTGCAGATCTTTTTACTAAAACTGTCTAGGCAAAACAGTCAACTAACTATTGTCTGCTAAATGAATACAAAATGGTAGTACTGTAATGATATAAAACGCTGTATTGACAAGATGTCAGATGTAACTTTACCTTGGCTGGGTGCATGCGTAGTCCATACAGCTCCACTTTCCTGGCTGTGTCCAGCAGATTGAAGTCTGCCTCAGCTGGTGTTTGACCACTAGAAATATAGGTATTAACACTTCTTTAGTGAAACTCCAGCTGACTAAGTTTTTTCGTACTTTCTTATATATGGAAAAAATCATCACCAAAAATTCAGCAGTTCAAAACTATACTATGTGATCTGTTCACAAAGTATTGTGAAGACACTGTGTCTGGTCTAGGAGTGAAATCTTAAAGCAGCCAAAAAATCAGACAGACCATTTCCCCATACAAACCTCCCTTTAACTGCACGCAAAAACCAATACAAGATAAAATATGAACAAGGGCAGCAGCTTTGTGTGGACGACTTTGTCTGCACTTAATTAGAATCTGGAGAGTCTCCAGTGCTCTGCCCCCCTCAGGGACCTAATCCGTGAAGTGATTACCTGCCTGACAGGTAATCAATATCCCAGGCAGCAGAAAAAGACAGTACAACTAGTGTTTTCACACCAGGATCAATAGTGTGTGAAAAACATAACCAGACCTAGGTGCAGGAAAGTAGCACCAATGGCACAGAAGAGAGGTTTTCTAATAATTGGAGAGCAATGTTATGTCGGCAGGACAAACACCATATCAATGTAAGTAACAACAGGGGAGCAATGTTATATCAGCGGGACACACACCATAACAATGTAAGTAATAACAGGGGAGCAATGTTATATCAGTGGGACAAACACCATAGCAATGTAAGTAATAACAGGGGAGCAATGTTATCTCAGCGGGACACACACCATAACAATGTAAGTAATAACAGGGGAGCAATGTTATATCAGCAGGACACACACCATATCAATCTAAGTAATAACAGGGGAGCAATGTTATATCAGCGGGACAAACACCATATCAATGTAAGTAATAACAGGGGAGCAATGTTATATCAGCGGGACAAACACCATATCAATCTAAGTAATAACAGGGAGCAATGTTATATCAGCGGGACAAACACCATACCAATGTAAGTAATAACAGGAGCATAATGTTATATCATTGCGATACTCACCATACCAATGTAAATGATATCAGGAGAGCATCAGCGGGACACACACCATGTTAGTGCAAGTAATAACAGGGGAGTAATGCTATATCAGTGGGGAAACACCATATCAATGTAAGTAGCTCAGGGGAGTAATGTTATATCAGTGGGACAAACACAAATATCAGTGTAAGTAATAACACAGGGATATATAACAGATAAATACTATAACACTGGGAATTACAGCAGACAAAGTAGTATTTTACACCTGAGCAGTAGATGTGGTACTTACAGCAGAGTCTTGTGGTACTCCATCACCTTCACCTCCAGCTCATCTGTCTGGTTGGGAACAAAGTGGAAGGTCTGCAGATAGGTGTGGTCCAGGTAGTCCTCCTCCAGGAAGTCACCTATCTCAGCTGAAACACACAAATACAAACAGTTATACTTATGTGTGTGTGTGTGTGTGTGTGTGTGTGTGTGTGTGTGTGGGGGGGGGGGGGGTGAGAGAGAGAGAGAGAAAGAGAAGTCCTCCTCCATGAAGTCACCTATCGCGGCTAAAACACAGAAATACAAACATATGCAATGAAATGTGTGTGCTGGAACACACAAATACGAATAGTTATAATTATCTGGCTGCTTTAACTTATATGAGAGAAAGAGGAAGAGAGAGAGGAAGTCACCTGTCTCAGCTGGAATACGCAGATACAAACAGTTATAATTATCTAGCTGCTTTATCTTATATATATGAAAAGAGAGAGAAGACCTCCTCCAGGAAGTCACCTATCGCGGCTAAAACACAGAAATACAAACATATGCAATGAAATGTGTGTGTGTGCATGCGTGCGTGAGAGAGAGAGAGAGAGAGAGATACCTTGAGCAATGTAAGCTGCCAGAAGAGCTGCAGTGTTTTCATTACAGGGAAGGATGCCTTGGTTTAGGTCCCTCTTCACTTGTAAGGCAAACAAATATCTGAAACAAATTATAAGAACAATAATCTATATATATTCAATTCAGTGCTATCTATCTTTCTGACAAATAATGCATTCTTAAGAATAACAATGACACAGTGTATAAAATATAGATCTCCATAAAATCCATAGATAGTTTTCATAACAGTAAATCAGTGTGGCATTTCCACCACCCATAAACATTCAATTGTGACCTTCACCTTGTGAACTCTTCCTCCAGGAGGCCGGGGTCTGGGGTGTAGAACTTGACACTAAACCTGAAGGTCAGGTTATGGTGGCTGCTCACCTGCTTCAGGATCAGCTTCTCTGGGTCTAGCCAGTACTGAAATACACAGGGCACACCTGTCAACTTAAACAATTTTCTACATATTTTACAAATAGTTATATAAGTGCCTTCCATAAAAGATTTATTTATTTTCTGAAAATGTTTCAAAAAATTTCCTGTCACTGTACCTGTACCCCATTCTGGCCGGTGAACTCCAGGTCGAAGTAGTCCGACTCCACCAAGTTGAGGTGGCGAATAACTTGATCTCTGAGCAGACTTCCTGTGGCCTTGACCTGGAAACATAAGACTAACATGAAACCGTGATAGGGTGAGACTGGAAAGGAGGGGGGGGCAATCAGGTATCCCTAGGGACATCCATCCCATGCCATATAAGACTAAGAGAAAGGGGAATAGGCATCCCTTGTGTTGTGATGTCTGCCCCATTTCATTTAAGACCGAGGGAAGACCAGGTTTCCCTGGGGAAATCTACCCATTTCATATAAAGCTGAGGTGGAAGGGACCAGGTATCCCTGGTGATGTCTGCTCCATTTTATATAAGGCTAATTGGGGAGTGGACGGGGTCAGGTAGCCCTTGGATGTCTGCGCCATTTCGTAGGACGCTAATGGTGGAGGGGACCGGGTTTCCTTGGAAATCTCTACCCCATTCTAGCTTCTCTGGAGACTAGCTCTGCAGACTAGGTCTTAAGCCTCAGCTAACTTTAGGTCTAAAATGAGTTTGTCATCCCTTTCCCTGTAGAGAAGTACACAACACACATGACCAAATTATATATATCTACTAATTTTATTAAACAAGNTAACAGGGGAACAATGTTATATCAGCGGGACACGCCATAATACTGTAAGTAATAACAGGAGCATAATGTTATATCGTTGCGATACTCACCATACCAATGTAAATGATATCAGGAGAGCATCAGCTGGACACACACCATGTTAGTGCAAGTAATAACAGGGGAGTAATGTTATATCAGTGGGGAAACACAAATATCAGTGTAAGTAATAACACAGGTATATATAACAGATAAATACTATAACACTGGGAATTACAGCAGACAAAGTAGTATTTTACACCTGAGCAGTATATGTGGTACTTACAGCAGGGTCTTGTGGTATTCCATCACCTTCACCTCCAGCTCATCTGTCTGGTTGGGAACAAAGTGGAAGGTCTGCAGATAGGTGTGGTCCAGGTAGTCCTCCTCCAGGAAGTCACCTATCTCAGCTGAAACACACAAATACAAACAGTTATACTTATCTGAGAGAGAGAGAGAGAGAGAGAAGTCCTCCTCCAGGAAGTCACCTATTGCAGCTAGAACACAGGAATACAAACACATGCTACGAAATGTGTGTGTGTGTGTATGTGTGTGTGTGCGTGTGTGTGTGTGTGTGCGTGCATGCGTGAGAGAGACAAGGCAGATGAGAGAGAGAGAGAGACAGATACCTTGAGCAATGTAAGCTGCCAGAAGAGCTGCAGTGTTTTCATTACAGGGAAGGATGCCTTGGTTTAGGTCCCTCTTCACTTGTAAGGCAAACAAATATCTGAAACAAATTATAAGAACAATAATCTATATATATTCAATTCAGTGCTATCTATCTTTCTGCCAAATAATGCATTCTTAAGAATAACAATGCCACAGTGTATAAAATATAGATCTCCATAAAATCCACAGATAGTTTTCATAACAGTAAATCAGTGTGGCATTTCCACCACCCATAAACATTCAATTGTGACCTTCACCTTGTGAACTCTTCCTCCAGGAGGCCGGGGTCTGGGGTGTAGAACTTGACACTAAACCTGAAGGTCAGGTTATGGTGGCTGCTCACCTGCTTCAGGATCAGCTTCTCTGGGTCTAGCCAGTACTGAAATACACAGGGCACACCTGTCAACTTAAACAACTTTCTACATATTTTACAAATAGTTATATAAGTGCCTTCCACAAAAGATTTATTTATTTTCTGAAATATTTCAAAAAGTTAAATGTCACTGTACCTGTACCCCATTCTGGCCGGTGAACTCCAGGTCAAAGTAGTCCGACTCCACCAAGTTGAGGTGGCGTATAACTTGATCTCTGAGCAGACTTCCTGTGGCCTTGACCTAGAAAAATATCACTGACGTTAAACCGTGATAAGATAAGACTGAAAAGAGGGGGGGGGATCAGGCATCCCTTGGGATGTCTGCCCCATGTCATATAAGACTGAGGGAAAACCAGGTTTCCCTGGGGACGTCTACACATTTCATATAAAGCTGAGGGGGAAGGAACCAGGTATCCCAGGCAATGCTTCACTTTATATAAGGCCAATGGAGGAGGGGACCGGGTTTCCTTGGAAATCTCTATCCCACTCTAGCTTCTCTGGAGACTAGCTCTGCAGACTAGGTCTTAAGCTTCAGCTAACTTTAGGTCTAAAATGAGTTTGTCATCCCTTTCCCTGTAGAGAAGTACACAACACACATGACCAAATTATATATATATATATCTACTAATTTTATTAAAAAAAAAACACAGCAGATAAACTGCTGAGAACATCACATCCATGCAGAAACGTGGGATAAAAACTTCATAGTAGAGATATGAACCATGGACAAAAGTATATTGAAAACAACTACAAATTTTATTCACAAACCACTGCAGATAAACTGCTGACAAATTATATCTATGCAGAAATGTGGGTCTCCAGTGTAAAAAGTGCCAGATGGCGTCAGTGGTGACAGTGGGAATCGAACCCACAAAGTAATGTTATTCGGACATTATGAAACCCATTTTCAGCAAAGTACAGAACCACAAGACTAGGCTGGCACATGAGTAAACAAAACAGAACTTTAATTTTATATACACAACAATGACAAGCAATCAACAGTTACAGGACTTTGTGTAAACAAAATAAAGTACAGACAGTAGCAGAATACTGTGAGCAAACTATACATACTTTTTCCCATTTCCATAATGTAGTTTTAAACATGAATGAACAAAATGATAAAATGTATATGCTTAATAAGACCTTCAAGCTAATCCAAAAGACTGACATAACATGATGTTCATCTGATATTTGATTGTGTTAATTTTCAGTATCAAAGACCCAAGGTATTCAGATAAAGTGTTAAGTTTGAATTGGCATAAATTCCCAGTCCATGTAAGTGTCAACACTCGAAATATAACCTAAGCACAGGGATAAAAATCACACAGTAGAGGTATGAACAATGAACAAAAGTATATTGAAAACAACAATGGATTTTATTCACAAACCACAGCAGATAAACTGCTTAAAAAATCACATCCATGCAGAAACGAGGGTCTCCAGTGTAAAAAGTGCCAGATGGCGTCAGTGGTGACAGTGGGATTTGAACCCACAAAGTAATGTTTAACAGACATTATTGAAACCATTTCAGCGAAGTAACCACGAGACTAGGCTAGCACATGAGTCATGCCAGGTAAACTTTACCATTCTATACACAACAGTCCTGTGGCGCAATCAATAGTCATGTGACCTTGTGTACACATCAGCTGACCTCCTACACATAAATAAACACAGTCGAGATTGTATACACTTTTAACTATACACAGTACAGGGCCTAAGGCCACAAATACACATGCTTCCACACTCAAAAAGAGCCGATTATGGATCAGCTGGAATGCCTCTTGTACAAATACACATCAGTAATAACCAATATAAAAAAATATAATGATTTTAATAATTTTATACATCAGTTATTCACAAAAGACCAGTAAGCTTGATCGTGAAGGTCCCAGTCAAAGATCACCATGCTTATCTTTATGAAAATATCTGAATTGTGAAAGCAAATCTCACTTAATCCTTATCTTCATACTATAAATCTTATAGATGGCTTATAATCATGAGAGGGGGGGGGGGGGCATTTGAACTGACAGCTCATCTTTTACATTGCCCCTTCAAATCGCTGGCAACCCTCATTGAGAATATCAGATCATGTTTCTTAATCTTTACTATCTCTCTCTCTCTCACACACACACACACACACACACACACACACACACACACACACACACACACACACACACACACACACACTTACATTAGGGTGACAAGCCAATATATGAACACAGACATTTAGTAAATTCACTACAGCCAGAACTAGTTAACAATTCAGATGAAGCCTCAGCAATGAAAGGACAGGTCAGATAGTGGATTACATAGTCTTATTTGACATTTAGCAGAATTATATCACCAAGTTTTATTTGACATTTAGCAGAATTATATCACCAACGAGGAAGATGTGACGATTTAATGCCTTTCCCCCTTTTTACATTACTATCTTATATATTAATGCGTAATTTATTAGGCTGCTCTATCAGATACATCAACATTTGAGATACCGTAATGGCAAGACTCACTTAAGTTCCTCATCAGGACAGTAATTAACATGGAAATTAATTTTATTAATCATCAGTTAACTAGCATTGTAATATTGTGGTAATCACCAGTGTAGTACAACATTGGATAGCATCTGAACATGAAGTTCTCGAGATACTGAGCTTGTACATGCTGTAATCAAAACTACCCTCATATGTATCTACATATCCTTAATGTTATTAGCTATTAAAGTGAACAGGGCTATGGAGTTCTCTGTACAGAGAGAGAACTGTAGAAGAGCACATTGATTCTAGCAGACATGACCCTGTACATCTATCATAACCTTGATGAATCTCAGGAGCTGTCAGAATTGAATTAAAAAACACGGAATTCCGCTTTTCCGTGGAAAAAGCTCATGTTTGCTACAGTGAACACAGCTATGGGGTGCCCTGTACATAGTGCGAAATGTGGAAAAACCTAGAAAACCCAGTTATTAAAGTAAACAGAGCTATGGAGAGCCCTGTAGAAAGAAATGACTGTAGAAAGTGGGGCCACAGTGATAACAGTGAACAGAGCTATGGAGTACCCTGTAGAGAGAGAGATGGCTGTCAGATATAGGAAGATATCATCTGAAGACCCCATCATGTTGATCACAACAATCGGCACTAACACCACTCCTGTGCAGTAATTAGAAGATACCATCTCTTAACCGACCACAGAATACAATCTCTTCAGGTCAGCTAGCAGAGATAATTGATGGTCACTTCTATTGTTGGACATAAAGGACATCTAGTTCAATATGAAGTCATTCAGTGTTGGTCATTACTAGCAGTGGTGAAAAGGGGAAAACAAGGACTGTATCTTTGTCTTCTACCATGAGATTGTGAAGTATAAGAACATCAATGTACTCCTACTGTTAACAGAGCAAAGTGAAGGAACAGCAAGCAAC